TTTATTTATTTATTTATACCCCGCCCATCTGGCCTAAAAGACCACTCTAGGCGGCTTTTCCAGGGAGTCTTCTCTTTTCATGAGATCTGAATAATAAATACTAAATGCAGGGAGAACAGTTCTATACAGCAGATTAGCAGCAATGAGTGTGAAACCAGAAATGCAGAGAATTGGATATTTTCTATGTGACCATGGGATGACTCATGAGTAGAATACAGCAAACACATTAGCATCATAGAAGGACTATCTTCCTGAGATCAAAGACTTTTATGGGGGGGGGGGAAAGGGTTTTTTAAGAGTGGATTAATACCACTAGTATTGTTGAAACTTTTTTTAGGTTTCTTTTTTAAAAAGTAGTAAACAGTAAGAATTATTTTCTTGGGACAAAATGACTAAAGGGTGATTCGCGCCCTTCCTGAATATGAAACAAGTTCTTTTTGCTGGACTCTGTATGTTATGCATATTGCCATGGGGTGAAGGTTTTGTTGGATTTCTCTGCCCCAGGGCAGATCGGTTTTGGCAGAGGGACCACATTCAGTGAGAGGTAGATCATATCACAAAGTCCTGTGTTTTAGACTGATGTGAAGGCCAGCTCCAGCCTCAGAATGAGAAAGGAAGCAGGAGACCTAACTTCACCTGAGGCACCATCACATGTTCACTACTTTATGAAATGTGGCATAAAAATATTCTAATGAAGAAAAAGAATACATACTAGAAGGCCCAACCATAGTCCCATGAGTGTGGTCTCCAGTCTTCTGGCCCCAGGCTAACAGTTGCCTGGAAGACTTGACTGTACATCATGTGAGCCACCATCCCAAGTAGGCCTAAATGGAAAGCAAAGGCAAAAAAAAAAAAGTCATCTATATCAAGCTGTAATTCAAGTGGAACCAACAAACCAAACATTGTTTTTCCGTGTTAGTTTTCAGATCTAATGTTTTACTACAAGCTTCTTGGATTGAAGTGATCACCAGCTGATTTTAGGCTCCCATGGGTCTTACTCATAAGGCTCCTCCTGGCAACTTTCCTATTCCCTGCCTTTTGTTTGCTTTTTACTCCATTGCATTTCTCTTCATTGCATTGCATACTTTTGTTTGCCTTTAACACCCAGCTGCCACTCTGGAAATGACAAACTTGCCCTCGTATTTTATGGCTGCCTCCAGTTTCCACTGCAGAGCACCTCTCATTTACATATCATGAGCGTAGACACTTGCACATCACAGGAAATGCATTAATACCCACATGACACAAATGTGCAAAAAATTGCATTTCCTAAATTTATATGTACAAAATTAGACACCATTCCTATAGAATAAATAGAACTAAAATGCATTTCACAATATTGGATGACCACTGACTAAATGACTTGTGTGCCTGTCCTCTCTGCTGTCCAGGTAGTTACTTTGGACAGGTACTTCAAGGCACTTGCTCATTCTTACGGGTTTTTTTTTTTTTTTTGGCCAATACCCTTTTGCTACTCCCAACTAGAGAAGACTGACTAAATTAGTAAGTCAACATTCAAGAATGGTAAGTTAATCCATTAAATCAATTAGTCCACTCTAGCTAGGACTAGCAATAGGATACTGGCCAGCGTCTTTCAGTGGAGTGTGATCTGGACAGTCTTTCAAGCATAGGATACCTTCCAATACTGCACAGCTGGCTAACTGTGGCTTGGGGGTTTTATTCAGTCCCTGAGCTGCGGCATCTCTGAGGCCCCATTCTCAGTTCCCCCTCAAGCAGCCCTCTGTGATTAAAACTGGCCATTCATCAAACATTTGGGGGGGGGGGTACCATAACTTATTTTAAGTTTGGGGGTCAAAACCAAAAATGACCATCTACTGTCTTCTAGTTTTGAAAAAGGCCTCCACATACCTAAAGCAGATGAAAACATTGTGCTATGGCTATTTGAGCACACAGAGGGTGTCATAGGCCACCGGGGGGGGCACATATTTTTCTCCACAGTATGTGTATATATGCGGAGGGTCTTTAGAGGGATATGTGTATTCCCAGGGCAGATGCTGTTCCCAGTCCTCTGGACATGTCTCCTTCCTGAAACAGAGGCTGTCTGCTAAGCAGTTCTTCAAACAGTGCTCTCTCTTCTGTTAATTAGACCACTCTGTTTCCTATGAAGTGCTCACCTGACAATACTGAGGAGACAGCTGCAAAGGCATTGAGCTTCAACCCACAAACTGGGTTTCCTGTGTACAGCATCTCCATTATCAGAAGTATGAAGCTAATCAGCAGTAAAACTATGTACATGATTTCTGAGCCGACTGACAACCAGAGGATGCCTGTTGTGTGAAACCAGCAAAACAAATAAGGGTTATAGCAATTCTGCAGATTTGAGGTCTCTTCTTTTGCTATTGTCTTCATTAAGCAAGCAGTCAGAGGAGATTTTAAACCATGCCTGTACACTCTGCCAAGACTATCTGAAATGAAACAAGAGATAGTGCTGGAAGATGAGACTTCCAACAACATTTAAAGCAAGACTACAGCAGGTTGCCAGTTTGGGGCACCTCCTTACAGAAGCTTAAACACCTCTTTTGATGTGATAGCCAAGCTGAAATAATTTAGAAAACCCCTAACATGCTGCTCTACATAGATGACAGTCTGTATTTCCCTTGGGGGCTTGTAGGTTGTCCAGGCTTGCTCCAGCATCCTGTGAGCATTCTCACATATTCTGAACAAAGATGCTGATTGATCTTTGCAAGGACAAGGTATTTTAAGCAAGGAGACCACCACAGAAGGGCATTCATCAATTCTATTAAGGGCTCAAATGTCTGAAAGGTTGGGAGTATTTGATATAGTTCTCAAAACAGCAACAGAGTTGGTTGGAAAAAGTGGGATCTCTGGGTATGTAGTCAAATGGTGGGAAACCTAAACCTAACTCCTAGGTGTTCCCTAGTCACACTGGTCATGTGACAACGGAAACTGTCTTTGGACAAGCGCTGGCTCTACAGCTTGAAAACGGGATGAGCACCGCCCCCTAGAGTTGGACACAACTAGACTAAAAATGTCAAGGGGAACCTTTACCTTTTAAGTTTAAGAATAGGAACATTTGGAAAGGAGGGAGAAATCCATGTCTCAGTATCTTAAGCATTATTATTAGATTATATATTATTAGATTATTATTTATATACTTGCTACGCCCTTGAAAATACCTGAAGCTTCCTGAATTTAAGGATTCCTACATTGAGCAGGGTCTGGACTTGATGGCCTTATAGACCCCTTCCAACTCAATTATTCTATAACGCAATGATTGTATTATTGTCTGACTCCCTTCCCATATGATCTCCTTTGGTTTCCACCACTGTGGATCAATCACATTTTTTAAAGATTACTATTTTATGTACTTGGAGCACACAAAGCTATTTACTAAGTGGCCAAGCCTACTGAAGCTGGAAAGAGAAGAAAATAGGTGTCCTGGGGTCACAGAATACATTACAGAAGTGTACCATGAGACAGAATAGTACACGGGGCCATCCGTATCACAGTGGCTGCTGGTGGCATATGCTGGGAGGTAACAATAGGGTCCTGGAGGAGGCACCCAATCCTGTGCACCTTACAGTAGCCTGCTACTCTTAGATATGATGGGTCATGCCAATTTTTTCCTAATGCTGAAAAAAAAATAATCAGCCGCCAATCCACTTGGCTTTTACACCTGGAATAATCGGGATTGGGGGGCACCATTTTGTTCATCATTACAGGCACAAATTGACCTGGGCCAGCCCTCCTACTTGGGTAAAGCTCAGTAACAGCAGTACCGTCTTGGTTTTTTTGCTCCAGGATCATGTTTTTCCCTAAAGCCTGTGCAGGCCCAAGCTTGTCTTGTTCACAACCAGTCCACCAGAAACACTCATTCTTACCTCGTTCTGCTGGAGGAGAAAGTTCAATGAAGCTGCGACACTTCTCATCTAAAAGAATACAACACAGAAAGAAAAAACAGTATGTCTTGGAATCTAAATTACTGTTCTGTCATTGAAAGTTTTCTAGGTTCTTTATTGGCCGGGATCATAGCCCCACTTAAGTGTTCTCCTTATGCGTAAACTCTACATGCGAAGAGGGTAGTAGGGACAGTGGCTGCCACCTCCATCCCTCCCTGTTTTCACTAAGCTTGCAGTCTGTAGAAGATGACTGCATTCCCAGGATTCTAGTATCTCCTAAATTTGATAAAATGCTTAAGCCAGAGCATGTGTGGTACTTCTCTGGTTGACATCAGAGACATAAGGACTAGAACCCTGTTAACTGTACGTTTAATGGGAATATATCCTACCAAGCACATAAGATTTCAGCTCCCCATTGAAATCATGGATTGGTGGAGGGGGGTGAGGGAGAATATTGGCTTAGGAATTGTTCACTGTGAATCCCCTCTGACTTATGCTGACCAGGACAGAAAATGTAAGTGTTTTCCCCCTCACTTCTCTACCCTTTTCATTTCTTGCAAACAAACAAACCTATTAACTAATTCCCATTAAGAATGGAAGCTAGTTAATAAGCTAACAATGCTAATTCCATATGTAGCACAGTTTTTTTCCTTTGATAAGAGAGTGCTTGATGCAAAAGGGAGCATAGGAAACAGCGGGCCTCATAGTCTGCCAAGGAACTCAGCCCCCTGCCAGTTTAGCACCATTGGTGGTATTTCCTGCAGAATCCAGGCATCCTGCAGAAAGTACTGGCTGGTAATTTCAGTATCGTGGGGTAGGAGAAGGAATAGTATCCACTCCATGTTTTAGCCTGAACTTTGGGAGAGCGATCTGAAGTGCCGAACCTATTTTGGGGTAGGGCCCAGCATTTTGGTTATCTCCTACAAAGTTCAGGAGTGGACTCACTGCCCCCATGACTTTGGGGTCACCAGGCTCCACTGCTTCCTGGGGCTCAACTAATGGCATAAGGAACATCCTGCAGTTTGTCAGAGGCCAGCTGATGCTTAAGTCAAGGTGGATATGACAAACTCATAAAACACAATTTGCTTCTCTCTTTCGAGCTCAGAACATTGATAAAGACAATACAGGAACCAACCAACTGAGGAGGATTTTAGTTCATTTAAAGGTGAGTAAATGTTGAAATTCCTATTCACTTGTACTGAATGTGTACAGAAATAAATTCTTCTAAAGGGCAGAAAGAATGAAAAAAGCCAACCATTTTAAGATTGCCGAGTGGCAATCTATATACATAATTCAGAAGATAGCTGACTGTAGTTGTATACTAGCCTATGAACAAGTGTTCAGCCTGTATAAGCTTTGTTGCTAATTCTTTCTTAACGATATTGCTTTCTAGGCTTCTGACTCTGCAGATTGTATTCCCTAGCTATTGGTTTGCTTTGTAAAATTATTTTGTCCTCTCCAGCTGAACATAGTCTTTTTCTTTTCCTTCTTCTTCTTCTTTCCTCCCCTGCCTGGAAGGCTAATCTCTTTGATCCCCTTTGTATCACTGTACTCAGCTCTTTCATGTTCCAAATTCCTCCCCATTCAGTAATAGCTGTACTTCATTTTGTTTCCTCAGGACTCTGTCTGCTACTTCATGGGCAACTGCATAGAAGTGACCTCACTGACTCAGACACAGCCAGAACATGAAACAGGGAGTGTAAATTGTGTTAGTTTCCATGAAAACTATTTCCAGAATACTATGATTTAACATCAGGATTTTAGAGGCTGTTCTACTGCCAGATTATCACAGAGATTTTGTGATGGGACAGAAGCTGTTAAGTGTTCTGTGAGCAGACTTTCCGATCCCACATTACAATAAGTAACAACAAGTTGCCATTTCAGCAACGTTCAAACATCAGTCTTGAGAGATTCATTATTTTTAAGGGACTCACATCCACCCAAATAGATTCATTCTTATGTATCCTGCAACACTTCACACATACCTTGAGCTGGGCACACTCATTCATTGTACAACAAACAGAAAAGAGTAAGACTAATTCAGATCTCACCGTGCATTGTTTTTCCCAATGATATGTCAACTTCTGGATAGCTCAGTGGCTCAGGTATCTGGCTGTGGAGCCAGAAGTTGGGAGTTTGATTCCTCACAGTGCCTCCTTGACAGGGGCTGGACTTAATGATTCATTAAGTTACAAGATTACTACTACTACGACGACGACAACAACAACGATGACGACGATGACGACGTCATTAAGTTATAAGATTCCTACTACTACTACTACTACTACGACAATGACGACGACGACGACTACTACTACTAAATAACTTACCTTTGGGGGGAAAGAGCGCTCTTCTGCCCTCCCTTGCAGGGCCGGACTGGCCATCTGGCAGTTCGGCTCTTCTTCCCTCCCTTGTGTACTACTAAGGTTCCAAACTGAGGTGTGAAATAATTTACACCCTCCCTCTCTCCCTTCCAACCTTTGTATTAGAAAGTAGGATTTGACATTTTATAGAAAATGTGCAGGGCCAGTGTATTATTTATATTTAGATCATTAAAGAAATTGATTTCCAGCTGAATCCACTGGTTAGCAAAAAAAACCCTTCCAAAGGGACTAAAACTGTGTAACCAAGTGGCATTCACTATTACAAGGGAACAATTACCCTTGAAAGAAAATAAAACATAGATAACATTGCTGGAACTCATGAAGAAAGTGGGTAAAATTGCTGATAAAAATGGTGATTGATTGTAACAGCAACCATGAAGGAAATTTTAGAAATACCATTATCATGCCAATTAGTTTTCTAACTCTCTAGACAGGGATTCCTGAAATAGGTTGTTATGGAATCTAGTAATCTTTTCAGGCATTCTCTCATACAGTTAGAACATACTAGTTATATCCTCTCCATGTGGAGTGTGCAAAAAGCTTCCTTTATATCTGGAGGTTCTTGGAAGAATCCAGAGCCCTGATTTTTCAGGGTTCTCGATGACTTGGAGAGCCTCCATATGAAGAAGAGGTTCTTTTCTTCAAACCGTTGCCCTTCATGTGAGGAAAGCAGTGAAGAAAGATGGCGGGTTGAATCCATGCTATACTTCAAAATTACTCCAACTTTGTATTCACGGTCAGGATCCGATGATTGTTGTAGATTTTTCCACCTGTCTGGCTATGTTCTGGAGGTTTTTCTTCCTAACGTTTCACCAGTCCAAAGAGACTGGCAAAACATTAGGAAGAAAAACCTCCAGAACACAGCCAAACAGTCCGAAAAATCTACAACAACCATACTTCAATTTTGTTATGGAATGCTGAAAGGGGATTAGATCAAGGACAGATGTGTCCATAAGACCCAATAGGTTGTTTTGTACCTTGGAATTTGGTCCTTAGAAACATCCATTTAACCTTGTTTGTGGCCTTTAGGAGTGTTTTTTAATTGTCTACCTCCACTGGAAACATTCAGGAACCAACCGTAATTTGGCTCCTCCCTTTCTCGAAATCTCTCTTGACAAGTTTATCACCTGGTCGTTATGTAACACCATTGGGTAGCAATACAAAAGGATCAGTAGCTTTCAAATTGTGCCTCTAAACCATAAAGCACTTTAACTGCTGACAGAATTTCAGTAACTAAAGCAAAGTGTGATGCTTATACTGTATACTGCCCCATAGCACTTACTTCACTCTCTGGGCAGTTTACAAGTTAATGATGCAGGCTACGCATTGCCCCTCTCCCCCAGCGAGCTGGGTACTCATTTTACTGACATCAGAAGGGCAGAAGGCTGAGTCAACCTTGAGCCAACTACCTGGGATTGAACCCCAGGTCGTGAGCACAGTTTTGGCTGCAGTACAGCAGTTTACCCACTGTACCACGAGGCTAACTAAAGATGAAATGGGATGAACTGAAATGAAATTAATGCAGGGCAAGGCTCTTGCCTTTGCTGTTCTAAATATATTACCTGAGCCTTCGATGTTCTCCTCACATGAAACCCACATGCCTGTATGGAAGTACCGAAAGGCAAAGCGGTCATCCCCAGTCTCCCAGCTATAGTGCACAACATCTTGCAAAGGGAAAGAGGAATTGCCAACTCCTCCATCAGGAGGCAGAGGGACACCTATGCATTTGGTAGTCTTCGTCTTCCCACATAAAGGCTTTGGAACTTTTTGAGTCCCAACACACCAGTAGCTGCCCAGTAGGGCTGTGGTGGACAGGCTGAGGGCCAGCAGGTTCAGAAGCACAGCCAGGACAGCACGGCGCCAGGGAAGGATCTTCAGGAACTCCATCTGCAAGAAATAAGTGAGTATCAGACACTCTCATATGGCTCTTCATTGTTCAGTCTATCACACTCCCACGTTTTTTTTTTACCAATAATCTACATATATCAATAAATGTGTGTCTGTCTATCTATCTTTCTCATAGCTCCAAGACTGAGAGATTTACACACCTGAAAATTGCCAGAAGAGGTCCTTAGAGATGTGTGGCGGGGTTATTTGGTTTTTAAATGTAGATTAAATGAATTAATTTAATTAATATCAGTTATATAAAACCTGTCTGTAGCCTAGATTACCATCTTCAGTCACTAGCTGGCAGACCTTTGTAACACTTCCTAATCAATGAACAAGAAGTTGTAGTCAGCTCTGATATATTCAGTTCTCCAGAAGGCCTCTGAGGAGCTCCACGTAGCTACAGGAATGGTGGAAAAAAATGAAAATACATAGTCCAACTGCTACTTCTCTTTATAGCATTTTCAAACAGCTGACAAAGAGGAAAGGAGACAAAGAAAGCATGAAAGTCCCACTAGGGGTTAAGGGGGAAGAAGGAGAGCAAATAGAGTAAATCATTTAATTTTAGTCTGTTGGGTAGGGGTGTAGCTACACAGTAGGGAAAGTACTGTAAGCTTGGATTTGCTGTGATCCACAGTTTTTCAAATTGAATTTTCATGGGTAAAATGACAGTAGCTGTTCAGCCAAGGTTTGAAATTTTGTATGCACAGTGTTAAAATAATTAAGGGGAATTATAGAAAATGCAATCCTAAAAATCTAAATTGTGATTAACAAAATGAGGCTTGAACACGAGCATACTAAAAGTCACTGCAAAACAATTAGCTTACTCTCTGTCCAAGCCATTGCAAGGAAAGTAGCGCCAACGTAAAACAACAAAAATAATACTGCCGTGCAAAGTAACTTGATATAGTAAAGGATCTCTTAGCAAGCTAACACTTGAGCATGTGTAAATAAATGATAAGGAAATACAAAACATTGAAAAAAATCTCTAGACCCTGAAACTCCTAGGGTTCTGGAATGCAAGTGTAGCAGATTGGTATCTTACCAAATTTGTTCACCAGCAATTAGGTCTCCTAATATTTTGCTTACCTAACAAAACCCTACTGAAGCAAATTACTATGGAACCAGTCTGCTACTGTGGCAGGTGTTCCGAGGAATAAGTCAAAATATAAATAATATTCCTTATTGCCACAGCAGGTTGTTAGCTTGGCAAAAAAATGTTAATTCTCATAGAAATTTCAGGAGACATGCTTCATAGGTTAGCAGTTTGCTACTCTGGCAAGCTTGAGTTGTGTACAGTTGAAAGGAAATATAAACAAATGAGAGAATTATAAATATAGGGAAACAATGCTCACACACACATATGACACACATACTAGAAAACAAAACCACAGATACTAGGTAGCAGACATCAAGGAGGAAAAAGTAATGATGCACTAGTGGGTTTCATTTCTAGAAGCTAGTGGCACATGGAGAGAATATGGTTTTCCATCCATTGATGCAAACCGATACGATTGGCTTGCCTGGGTGAGAACATTGTTAAATAATTTTTCTGTATATATGAATACACTGAAAGGTTGTGGAATATATTTTAATTTTATATCTTTTTACTTTAAAAACATTTTCAGAGATGAGCTTTTTAAGGCTATGAGTTCCTGCATTTTTAAAATGTATATCAACAGTTTTGAAACATGATTATAACATGATTTAAATCCTTGCTTGTAGCTTCTACTTAAATGTTACAACTGAAATGTATTTTGCTTAAGTATATTGTCTGCAACTCAATTCCAAACTTCATACATTTTTAAGTATTTGCACCTACAGTTTTTTCATTGTTGTAAGTTTAATTTCTGTATAATAGAAATGTGCCTGCAACTTCTCAAAAAGTTACATTTTTTAATAACTCTTGGATTTTTAGAAGCAATGTACATGAATAAAGCTTGCAGACATAGATGAGCTGATGTTGCCTGGAATCATTCCAACAATGGAACACATAAATTTATGCACAGTTGAATTTTAATATTACTGGGAAAGCATATCTCGTTCACACTGGAATTAACTCTTTCGGGGATAAATGCCAGCTGTGACAGATCAGCACATACTAAAACTACCAAAGGGTGTTATAAAGTTTTATAGTGCTCTGAGATCATTTTTTGAGTGTCACATTTTTGGTCTTGACAATCCATACAACATGCAGTTTGCAGGAGTAAGCAGAGGCAGAGCCATAGAGCTGTGTTTTTACAGCGTCCCAATAGCAGAAGATGTCTTTGGCAAGGTGCTAATTGACAATTTCCATCTTTTTTTTTTTAAGTACTCCTAAGTGACCTAAAGATTCTGTGTTCCAGTGCGACCTTGAAAGTCTTTTAAAAAAACAAATATGCACAGTTTGCAGACAACAGGACTCAGCTGAGGGAACTAACACCCTCACAAATACCCTTTTGTATTCAGATCAGGCAATCACACTGGGTGGAAAGTGAACAAAAGACATGTCAGTCCAACTGGAGCAAATTTAAACCATCCTTGCCAGCTGGAAAAAAAAAAGGATTTCCCCCCTAAAAAGCAATTGTTCCACAACAAGTTTTATGCCATGTAGTCACTGGATTTTAATTTGAATTCATCTGTGCCTCAGCTGTTGCGAATTCTGGGGTAAATTTCCCTAAGAGTATGAGGGGTCTAAAAGACAGCATTGCAGGGATGGTGTAGAGGGTTAAGCAAAAGTTTTCAGAAAACTGAATGTCACTGCCTGTGTTACCTGATGGTTGCCTTCTTGAAAGAGATCTAGTATCTTGGCCCTTTATTGTGCACTGCTTTATTCTGCACTTGGTTAAGCGCTTTCATAATGCTCATATTGAATGTGGGAGAAACAGGTATGAGCAATCAAGTGCTGCTATCATGATATTCCAGCCTAATTCCATCCTTCTCTCATAGTTTCTCCTACATTTTCTCTAGTCATAAAGAAAATAGGAATTCCTTCATGCCAATGTCTTCTCAAGTGCCATATAATGTAGGTATGTTTGGTGAAATGATATCAGAGATAGGAAATGTTTAATTTGGGGGGGCTATGACTCCCAGAATACTGTAGTCAATATGATTGCTCCCCACTCTGGGGAGGAATAGAACCAAAGAATAAACTTTTCCTGTCTTGGAATAATACTGATACTTTTTAGGAACTGAGTTCTTTCTCTCAGCAGAAGTCAAAATTGCTAGTCTAATGTGTAACAGACTACTTGCAAATTATATTTTTCCAAGCAAAGAGTTTGCACATGCAGGTCTATAAACAAGAAACAACACTGGTGTGGATCCAATGCTTTACCCATGTGCAACTAGCAACACATAAGAAGTGAGGGTATTAAGCAATTGTGTGAGCTCTGTGATTAGCAGAGCTCACACAATTAAAACAAAAGCATCACCTCCCCTGCTTTGGTGCTAACATGCTACGGATTTTCTAATTTATTCCTCTGCTTTTTAAGTTCTTCTGTGCCTCATTCCTTTTTAACTCTCAAGGCCCCATTCTCCTCTTGGGTTTTTCCCTTTCTTTTCAGACCATCTTTTTCGCAATTCTGCAAAACATGTATCTTTAGTAAGAAACAACTGACAACCCCTTTTGCCTAGAGCATAGAGCAGATTCCTGCACACGTGCTCAAGATTTCTAAGTTTCATCATAGCCAAGGAGAATATTTTGATCTCATCCCTTCCACTGCATTTTTAAAGCCATGTGAAATCTTCACAGGTGATTTCCAAAATAGGAAGGTCACAAAGTATGGAGGAGACAGAGGAGGAAAAGAATTAATCCCAGTGCAAACATTTTTCTTCTTTGCATATATACCCATGCTTGGGTTTTTTTCAATGTCAGAATGCATACAATAATGTGTATATTCCACCCTAGAAGTAAATCCCACGCCATCAATGCAGTCTATTCCCAGATAATTATATTTAAGACAACAGTCTAAGTAACTCCTAGCGACCCACAGTCATCAGGGGAATAACTCCAAACACTAAACGTCATATAAATACATTCTCTGTAATTACATATCTTATTCAAACATCCTTTGTACTATTAAAAGTCACTGGGGTAGATGGAATACTGATAGAACTATTTCAAGCCACAGAAACTTAGTCTATCAAAATCCTAACAAGAAAATGCCAGTAAATATGAAAAACAAAACAATGGCCAACAGACTGGGAACATTCAATATAAATTTCAATCCCCAAGAAAAGAGATGCAAAGGAGAGCAGTAACTATAGAACCATTGCCATGCAAGCAAAGTGATGCTCAAGGTGTGGCATCAAAGACTTTTAACTTCTCTGGAACAAGTCTGTTGTTCAAGCTGGATTCAGAAAAGGAAAAGACACTTGAGCTCATTTTGCAAATATTCACTGGTTATGGAATACGCCAAAGAATTTCAGAAAAAGATCAGTCTACGCTTTCTAGACTATAGAAAAGCCTTTGACTGTGTGGCTCATGAGAAACAAATGGGTGAGGGAGCTCAGCACTTGATTGTCCTAATGTGTAACCTATATTGTAGACAAGAAGGTACTGTTAGCACAGAATGGTTTCCTATAGACAAAGGTGTCAGACAACGGTGCATTTAATCCCCTTATCTGCTCAATCTGTACACAGAACATATATGGAAAACCAAACTAGATTAAGATGAAGGAGTGAAAATTGATGGAAGAAACACCGATAATTTAGGTTATTTAGATGACACTATCTTACTGAAAGAAAGCAGCAATGGCTTGAAAGGACTTTATTGAAAGTGAAAGAAGAAAGCGCCAAAGCAGGAATGCTGCTGAACATTAAGAAGACCAAAATCATGACTGCGGAAGAATTATATAGCTTTAATATTGACAATGAAGAAATTGAACTAGTTACACAATTTGGATACCTTGGGCCAGTCATCAATCCAAATGGAGATTGCAGCGAGAAATCAAAAGAAGACTATAACCCAGAAAGGCAGCAATGATAGAACTAGAAAGTGCCATCAAGTGTACTCAGGATG